GAACAGTTGGGGCGAAAATGGACACTAATATTCGCGCTTGATACAGGTCTGAATTTGGATTGTAATTAAATATTTGACACATAATAGGTTTCTGACACCGAATAACTGTAATTAAAGAACTTAGAATTGGTTATATGATTTGAATTTATATTCAATTTTTTGCTTTTGTTCAATACACCATGCTGATGCCCCCTGTAAATGACTGGTCAAACTTGTCACATGTAAAACAACACCTGCAAGATGATTCTTCTCACCATGATTGTGTAAAATTGGGACTTTTTTAATTGACCCCCCCCCCCCCCCCCCCCTGAACAACAAAAAAAAAAATTAACCCCCCCTTTTTTTTTCTTTTGTGAAATACACTATGCTGTTGTGTATTGACCACCCCCCAAAAAAAAATACCCCCCCCTTTTCTTACTTTTCTAAAAAAAAATATTTGAGGAAATTTCTTTTCAATAGTGCCCCCCACAATTTCTTTTGTACCCCCACCCCCTTCCCCCACTTCTAAAAAAAAATACTTTCCCTCAAGATATGATCATAATCTCAATTCAAATTTCCAATGGAGTTTGCAACCATAATTACCAATTTAAATACATCGTAAGTCTTAAATAGATAATTTAAAAGAAGTGTAAGGGAGGTAATCCAACATTGTACAACAGTGTACAATTTTGTTTTTGGATTACCTCCCTTACACTGCTTTTAAATTGCCCATTAACCAGGAAACCCTTGTTTTTTCCCCTTTTTAACCGGATTTTCGAAGGAAATATCGGTTATTAAAATGATGATATACGGCGGGCGGCTGCCAAATAGTGTCAGCACAATAACATGAAAACGCTTTAACAAATTTTTTTCAAATTTGAATATGTTGTTTCCTGGGACTTTATGAAGGTCTCTATTAATTTTCAAGATTTTAGTATATCTCCTTTGTGACTTATCGCCATTTTTAATATCCAAAAGTAGAATTTTAAAATATTTTACTGTTGTTATCATGTTATATGATTTGTCTTATCTCAGAATAAAAATTGGAGTGACAGATTTATTTGAAAATTATCTATTTCCTAAGTGGTAATGATTATAAGCTATATCATTAGACATTTTGAAGATTATTACATTATTAATTATGTTAGAGTACTATGTTAAACAACCATAATTCTGTTCAATTAGATATTATAAATATTTCAGCATATGATAATGATTTATTTTCATTATTAATTAGATCTTGGAAATATTTTAGCATATGATAATCATTGGAGAGACAGATTTATTTGAAAATTTTCTGTTTTCTGATAAGATCTGTAGGACTGTATATATACAGTTTGAAACTTACTAGTATTACTGTATAAATGAAGTTTGGAATTTACTGTTCATTATTAGACATTTTGTAGATAATTAAGTGTCCGTTAATCATATATATTCTTACCCTTACCCCCTTCAATTTGATAATGTGCTTTTATCTTGTAAAAGGTTGAGATCCCTACTCCTAAACCATATATATTCTTGTATGGGACAATAAAACAAATCAAATGAAATATTGGGATAGTCCTCGGGTTCACAGCTACCCTCCTTTTTTTGAAAACTTGTAAATGTGCAAGCTCCCCACCCTGAAACCATATATATTCTTGTATGTTACAAATCAAATGAAATAAAAGGTGAGTCCCCTGGGGTCATCCCAAGCGTGTCTTTTTGAGAACTTATAAACGGTCGAGATGTCAACCCCTTAACCATATATATTTTTGTATGGGACAATAAAAGAAATCAAATGAAATATAGGGGAAGTCCACAGGGGTAAATCCCAACCCCTTCTTTTTGAAAACTTGTAAACGGTTGAGATCCCCACCCCTAAACCATATATATTCTTGTATGGGACAATAAAACAAATCAAATGAAATTTAACGGAAGTCCACAGTGGTAAACCCCATCCCTTCTTTTTGAAAACTTGTAAACGGTTGAGATCCCCACCCCTAAACCATATATATTCTTGTATGGGACAATAAAACAAATCAATTGAAATTTAGGGGAAGTCCCCTGGGGTAACCCCCACCCCTTTTTTTTGAAAACTTGTAAACAGTCAAGATCCCCACCCTGAAACCATATATATTCTTGTATGTTACAATAAAACAAATCAAATGAAATAAAAGTCAAGTCCCCTGGGGTCATCCCCACCTTTGACCCCTTCTTTCTGTTTAAACGGTGGAGATCCCCACCCCTAAACCATATATATTCTTGTATGGGACAATAAAACTAATCAAATTAAATATAGGGGAAGTCAATTGGGGTAACCCCTACCCCCCTTTTTTTTTATAACTTGTAAACGGTCAAGATTCCCACCCAGAAACCATATATATTCTTGTATGGAACAAATATCAAATCAAATGAAATATAGGGGAAGTCCAGGGGGGTAAACACTTACCCCTTCTTTTTGAAAACTTGTAAACGGTTGAGATCCCCACCCTTAAACCATATATATTCTTGTATGGGACAATAAAATAAAGCAAATTAAATTTAGGGGAAGTCCCCTGGGGTAGCCCCTACTCTCTTTTTTTTGAAAACTTGTAAACGGTCAAGATCCCCACCGCGAAACCATATATATTCTTGTATGTTACAATAAAACAAATCAAATGAAATATAAGGTGAGTCCCCTTAAGTCACCCCCACCCCCCTCCTGTTTAAGAACTTGTAAACAGTCGAGCTTTTCATTATTAATAAGATAATACCACATTGAGGTCCAAAGGGTCCTAAATTAAACTTTTGTTTAATTTCATCAAAAATTGAATTCTTTGGTTCTTTGATATGCTGATTCTAACAATGTTTGAGTGTTAAATCATATCTAATTTTAGAGAACTTAGTCATCACTGGTTGTTGTTATTATATTATTGATTATAATTTGATTAAAATGCTCCGCTGAGAGCAGCTTGATACAACCGCAGAGGTCGAACCCTGAACAGTTGGGGCAAGTATGGACACAACATTCAAGCTTGATACAGCACTGAATTTGGATTGTGATTAAATATTTGACACATCATAGGTTTCTGACACAGAATGAATGTGGTCTAAGAACTTAAATTTTTTTAATTTACCTATTCAAACCATATCATTATTATTTGCTTTTGTATATAAATCAGAAATAACCAATTTAAAATGAAAATTTTAAAGAAAAAAAAAAGGAAAAAAATATTCCCCCCCCCCCCGCCAATTTTTTGAACCCCCTTATGATTCATTACCCCCAAACTCAATCCCAGCCTTCCCTTAGTGGTATGGTACCTTGCAGTACAATTTCAGAGAGATCCATACATTTGAACACAAGTTATTGTCTGGAAACTAGAAAAATGCTTGTTTTTTGGCTCCTTTTTGGCCCCAAATTCCTAAACTTTTAGGGCAATTACCCCAAACTCAAACCCAGCTTTCCCTTTGTGACATGGAACCTTGTAGTACAATTTCATAAAGATCCATACACTTACACACAAGTTATTGTCCTGAAACTAGAAAAATGCTTGTTTTGGCCCCTAATTCCTAAAATTTTGAGGCAATTACCCCAAAAATCAATCCCAGCCTTCCCTTTGTGGTATGGTACCTTGCAGTACAATTTCAGAGAGATCCATACACTTGAACACAAGTTATTGTCTGGAAACTAGAAAAATGCTTGTTTTTTGGCCTCTTTTTGGCCCCTTATTCCTAACCGTTTTGGGCAATTACCCCCAAACTCAATTCCAGCTTTTCCTTTGTGATATGGAAACTTGTAGTACAATTTCAGAAAGATCCATACACTTGAACACAAGTTATTGTCCTGAAACTAGAAAACTGCTTGTTTTTTGCCCCTTTTTTGGCTCCTTATTCCTAAAATTTTGAGGCAATTACCCCCAAAATCAATTCCAGCCTTCCCTTTGTGGTATGGTACCTTGCAGTACAATTTCAGAGAGATCCATACACTTGAACACAAGTTAAGTCTGGAAGTTACCAAAATGCTTACTTTTGGCCCCTTTTTGGCCCCTAATTCCTTAACTGTTTGTACCATAACCCCCAAAATCAATTCCAACCTTCCTTTTGTGGTATTGAACCTTATGGTAAAATTATAGAGATCCATTCACTTAAACTAAAGTTAGAGTTTGAAAACCAATGTGTCTTCAGACGATGACGACGCCATTGTCATACCAATATACGACCACAAAATTTTTTTAAAAATTGCATCATATCTTATTTTAGAGAACTATTTATCCAGTTTGAGTTATTTCCACTTGCACAGAAAATATTATGGATAAAATTAACCTGTGTTTCATTTCAACATAAATTAAATATATATATAGGGTTCTTTCAAATGCTGAATCTAAACTCTATTTAAATATTAGATTTTTAGGCCCAGTTTTCAAGTTGGTCCAAATCAGGGTCCAAAATTAAGCTTTGTTTGATTCAACAAAAATTTAATTTATGAGGTTCTTTGAAATGCTGAATCTAACCATGTATTGAGAGTTTTTGGATTGTGGGCTCCTTTATCAAATTGGTCCACATTGAGGTCCAAAGGGTCCTAGATTAAACTTTTGTCTGATTTCATCAAAAATTGAATTCTTGGGGTTCTTTGATATGCTGATTCTAATATGTACTTAGATTTTGGATATTGGACCATAATAGGTATTTAAATGTCCAATTTCAAATATATCAGTTCTTTGACCACATTCATTTTGTGTGACAAACCTATGATTTGTCAAATATTCAATCACAATCCAAATCCAGAGCTGTTTTAAGTTTAAATGTAGTGTCCATACTTGCTCAACTGTTCAGGGTTCGACCTCTGCAGGAAAATCCGGTTTGCTGTCTCTCTGACAGCCTCTTGTTTGCCCCTTATTCCTACTATAGTAGGTGGGGCATAAAAATTCTAGGAGAAGACTTTATAAGATTGATTAACTTGTGTCTCATCCTCCCTTTTGCACATTTAAACAAATAAAATATGTTTAAACTAAACCAAAATTCTTTATGAGGAATAAGATAAAAATAAGTTAAACTACAAATTCTAGGTGTTGACCTATATATAGGCTTATATTTAACCGACATAAAGAATGAAAAATTACTGATGAATAATTACATACACTGAATAATGAACAAGACTAGTATTACCACATATGTAATAATTTATTAAAAGTTCACTTTATAAAAGATGTCAATTTATAGAAAAACTAGATGTGTTGGAACGACACGAATGGCCTCGTCTCAAACAGTTGAAAAATCTGCAATTTCAACACACAAACATGCATGGATAGTATACAGCTCTCAAGACCAATGTCTGATGAAAAATTTCCTTGATCAATGAGTAGTTAAATTTCAAACTATCAGCAAACAGGAAGTGGATGAACTGCAGATCTAACAAGATGTGTTGAAACGACATGAAAATCAGCATAGCAGAACAAAATATAAACTTGATCTGTAACTCATCATGGTAGACTCACGAAAATTAAACTTGATCTGTAACTCATCATGGTTAACTTACATACCAAAAATCAGCCCAATATCTGAAGGCGTTTGGAAAAAAAATGTGTATAATGGTTTGTTGCGGATGACGGAATGACAGACAAGGGTAAAACTATATGGCCCAGACAACTTTATTGCGGGGCCATAAAACATCAGTTTCATTTTACAAATTTATGAACATGTGTTAAACCACAAATTCTAGGTGTTGACCTATATAGGTGAATAAAAGTTTGGCATGTTTACCTTGACATAAAAAGAATGAAAAATAACTTCAAACACTGAATAATGACCAAAACACGTATGTAATATATTAAGATTTAACATTATAAAAGATGTACATTTACAAAAAAAACCAAGAGTTCCATTTAACAAATTTATGGACATGTGTTAGACCACAACTTCTAGGTGTTGACCTATATAGGCTAATAACAATTTGGCATGTTTACCTTGACATGAAAAATTACTAAAGAATAATGACCAAGATAAATATTTACACATATGTAATAATTTATTAAAAATTCACATTATAGAAAATGTACATTGGTCTGTTTTACAAACATAGGGACCTGTCACAACAAAAAATGTCCATATTTTACAATGGAAAATCTAGAATTTGATTTGGTCAAGAAACAAAAAATGATCAAAGTCTCAAACGGCCTGATTGCAATACTTGTGACTAATCATTGTAGAATGTTTACAATGTTTATAAATTTTGCAGAAAAAATTACTAAGTTCCAAAGTCTGAAAAAAATTTCTCAAACAATTCTTTAACAAAAGGTGCACAACTTCAACATATGTGCAATATTCCTGTGAAGTTTCAAGTATCTGGGTTGATATTTGTAGGAGGTGTTGATTACACAAGATGTGTACGCTTATTCAAGTTTGGAAAAATTCCTCAAACAATTTCATAAAAGCAGGTGCACAACTTCAACAAATGTACGATATTCCTGTGAAGATTTAGGGGTCTTGGTTGAAAACTGTAGGAGGTGTTGATTACATAAACTAGGTCCCCACATTTCAGCACCAACCCGTCTACCTGACATCACCTTACTATAAGCTGGTTTTGGACTCTGTCCAATCCATCCAATAAAATAAGCATAAATACAAACAGATATGTATTACGAGACCATATTAGTTTTTTATTCCCTTGTAAAGTAAAGGAGATTTACCCTTAGGAGGGACATAAGTTTTCATTGACAATGGAGATTTAGCGGAAATAGCAAATTTATCTGTGTGTAATGTGTGTAACCTTCAAGTTTTTCAAATCTATTAATTGCATTTAATTTTTCTTTAAGCTATACACTTTTGATACCAATAATTACTTTTCACTTTAAAATAGGTAAAAAGGCCGATATACCACTTTCAACTTATCATGATTTGTATTTTGTCCAGTACAGAATCAGGCTTCAATTTACAAAGGGAAGCAATTTGTGTTAAAAGTGTGTAATAACAGAATCAAATCCGTAATTGGCTAACAGACTATTCCATCCTTCAATAAAATGCTCCGCAGGGCACAGCTTGATACGACCGCAGAGGTCGAACCCTGAACAGTTGGGGGAAGTATGGACACAACATTCAAGCTTGATACAGCTTTGGATTTGGATTGTGATTAAATATTTGACACAGCATAGGTTTCTAACACAGATTGAATGTGGTCTAAGAACTTAAAAATTTTAAATTGGACATTCACCTATTATGGTCCAATATCCAAAATCTAAATACATGGTTAGATTCAGCATATCAAATAACCCCAAGAATTCAATTTTTGATGAAATCAAACAAAGTTTAATTTTGGACCCTTTTGACCTCAATGTGGACAAAGTTGATAACGGGGCCCAAAAATCAAAAATCTAAATACATGGTTAGATTCAGCATATCAAAGAACCCCATATATTCAATTTTTGTTGAAATCAAACAAAGTTTAATTTTGGACCCCGATTTGGACCAACTTGAAAACTGGGCCCATAATCAAAAATCTAAATACATGTTTAGATTCAGCATATCAAAGAACCCTAAGAATTCAATTTTTGTTAAAATCAAACTAAGTTTAATTTTGGACCCTTTGGACCTTAATGTAGACCAATTTGAAAACGGAACCAAAAATTAAGAATCTAAATACACGGTTAGATTCGGCATATCAAAGAACCCCAATAATTCAATTTTTGATGAAATCAAACAAAGTTTAATTTTGGACCCTTTTGACCTCAATGTGGACAAAGTTGATAACGGGGCCCAAAAATCAAAAATCTAAATACATGGTTAGATTCAGCATATCAAAGAACCCCATATATTCAATTTTTGTTGAAATCAAACAAAGTTTAATTTTGGACCCCGATTTGGACCAACTTGAAAACTGGGCCCATAATCAAAAATCTCAATACATGTTTAGATTCAGCATATCAAAGAACCCTAAGAATTCAATTTTTGTTAAAATCAAACTAAGTTTAATTTTGGACCCTTTGGACCTTAATGTAGACCAATTTGAAAACGGAACCGAAATTTAAGAATCTAAATACACAGTTAGATTCGGCATATCAAAGAACCCAAATAATTCAATTTTTGATGAAATCAAACAAAGTTTAATTTTGGACCCTTTGGACCTCAATGTGGACCAATTTAAAAAACGGGGCCCAAAATCCAAAAACTAAATACACGGTTAGATTCAGCATATTAAAGAACCCCATGAAATCAAGAATAAAACCCCATTGAAATTGGTCAAGAAATAAGCAATTTATAGGAAGTATCTTCTTTTGCACAATCCTGTGCTATTAAATATTTCTTGCTATTCTTAATGTAGACCAATTTGAAAATGGAACCAAAAATTAAGAATCTAAATACACGGTTAGATTCGGCATATCAAAGAACCCCAATAATTCAATTTTTGATGAAATCAAACAAAGTTTAATTTTGGACCCTTTTGACCTCAATGTGGACAAAGTTGATAACGGGGCCCAAAAATCAAAAATCTAAAGACATGGTTAGATTCAGCATATCAAAGAACCCCATATATTCAATTTTTGTTGAAATCAAACAAAGTTTAATTTTGGACCCCGATTTGGACCAACTTGAAAACTGGGCCCATAATCAAAAATCTAAATACATGTTTAGATTCAGCATATCAAAGAACCCTAAGAATTCAATTTTTGTTAAAATCAAACTAAGTTTAATTTTGGACCCTTTGGACCTTAATGTAGACCAATTTGAAAACGGAACCAAAATTTAAGAATCTAAATACACAGTTAGATTTGGCATATCAAAGAACCCCAATAATTCAATTTTTGATGAAATCAAACAAAGTTTAATTTTGGACCCTTTGGACCTCAATGTGGACCAATTTAAAAACGGGGCCCAAAATCCAAAAACTAAATACACGGTTAGATTCAGCATATTAAAGAACCCCATGAAATCAAGAATAAAACCCCATTGAAATTGGTCAAGAAATAAGCAATTTATAGGAAGTATCTTCTTTTGCACAATCCTGTGCTATTAAATATTTCTTGCTATTGCGCAATACTGTACAATTGACAATTTCTTGCTATTGCGCAATATTGTGCTATTGGATATTTCTTGCTATTGCGCAATACTGTGCAATTGAAGATTTCTTGCTATTGCGCAATACTGTGCAATTGAAGATTTCTTGCTATTGTGCAATACTGTGCAATTGAAAATTTCTTGCTATTGCACAATACTTATTATATAATAATTTACACATCCTGTTTGGTGTGTATCTCCTACCATATCATTATTATTTGATTTTAAATTTTAATCAGAAATAACCAACTTAAAATGGATAATTTTAAAAGAAAAAAAAGGAAAAAAAAATAAATCCCCCCCCCAAATTTTTTGAACCCCCATTATGATTCATCACCCCCAAACTCAATCCCAGCCTTCCCTTTGTGGTATGGTACCTTGCAGTACAATTTCAGAGAGATCCATACACTTGAACACAAGTTATTGTCTGGAAACTAGAAAAAAATGTGTTTTTTGGCCCTAAATTCCTAAACGTTTAGGGCAATTACCCCCAAACTCAAACCCAGCTTTCCTTTTGTGATATGGAACCTTGTAGTACAATTTCAGAAAGATCCATACACTTACACACAAGTTATTGTCATGAAACTAGAAAAATGCTTGTTTTTTGCCCCTTTTTTTGCCCCTAATTCCTAAAATTTGGAGGCAATTACCCCCAAAATCAATCCCAGCATTCCTTTAGTGGTATGGAACCTTGTGGTACAATGTCAGAGAGATCCATACACTAACACACAAGTTATGTCTGGAAGTTACAAAAATGCTTATTTTTGGCCCCTTTTTGGCCCCTAATTCCTTTACTGTTATTACCATAACCCCCAAAATCAATCCCAACCTTCCTTTTGTGGTATTGAACCTTGTGGTAAAATTTCATAAAGATCCATTCACTTAAACTAAAGTTAGAGTGCGAAAACCAATGTGTCTTCGGACGACGCCGGACGACGACGACACCAACGTCATACCAATATACGCCCACAAAAATTTTTTTGCGGTCGTATAAAAATTGCTGGAAAGATCAGACAAAAGAAATTTGTCCCTATGAGAACTTATGTCGAAGAGAGTAGACCATTTTCGACAGGTGGTACTCTGTGGTAGGACATTCTGATACTCAGTCAAGTAAGAGCAACTAAAAGAAGTATTTTTACTGTTTTGATATTGTAGCACTTTGAAAATATCTTGATACATAGGCCTACAAAAGGGATCACAAACCTTAAGAAGATTTGTAGAAGAATCATCTTCTCAAAATTTAAAATATTATATAACATTTATTAGTACAATAACTCAATCAATAATATAAAAAAAGTTAACAATAAAAGTAGTCCATAACAATATCTATGATCTATAGAATCTACAACAATTCACTAGAATATCTACATTACATGACCATCAGAACATATCAAACCTATTTGCTATTTTTGTTCATATAATATTGCCTAGAAATTGTAATATCAGCATAAAATGAGATCACAATACTTTCATATTTGTTGGAATAATTGTGTAGATCACATGACAATCAACAGATACACAAATTATCTGCAAGGCATGAGGTCATATCCCATTAACATCTCTGCAATAGGATCACACAATGACAGAAGTTTAAATGGAGGGTGATTACAGATCTCTCTAGCATGAGGTATTGAGTCTGTGATCCAAAAATTTTCAAATTTCACATCTGAATCGACAAACCTCTTCCACGAGTCATTTGGGAAAACTGGATGTGTCACATAAGCACTTACAGACTTTGCTCCTTTTTCCAGTAAAGCCTGAAAATGGAATAAAAATTATTTTTTTCGGAAAAAAAACATGAGTGACCAGATTACATAGTGCAGTGTTTGATCATAATTAAACATTTAAATGTAACTAAAAGGCTGGGGAAAAAAATGAAAAAGTTTTTTCAACTTTGACACATTTACAGTATGATTGCCTTTCAGAAACATTTAGGGGTGGGGGTGGCCAGATTGGCCAGGTCCCCCTTATTTAGTTACATATATGGTAATGCATAGACTTTTTACATGTCCCAATCCAAATGTTGCTTATTTTATCCCCATCTGCCCTTGATTGGATCTGACAAGAGCATCCCTTATAATATTTGACTAACTTAAATAAAAGAAATCTGAGAAAGTTTCATTGAATTAGAAAAAATAAATGTGCTTTCCAAAAAGGGCTGTTAAGCAGTGCCTTATTAAGGTTAGTTTTCTTCTTTTGTCTCCTTTGTTGTATTGCAGTAGTTGTATTCCTACATTCTGCTATGTCCATGCTATTTGTTTACATTTGTAATATCCTGTATAAAGCATTTTCTTGATTTATCTAAGAAGTAACTGTAAGCTAGAAGAAAAAGACAAACCTTTCCACATTCTTTCAGTGTACCCCCAGTCTGTACAAGATCATCAACTATTATTACATGTTTATTTTCGGGATTTCCTACAAATAGAATATAAGAAAATTTAGAACATTTCTTTTATTATTTATTCATATATATTTGAGTGATAATCCTTAAAATAGAGAACTTTTAGGTTTGTCTTTTAATGGAAAAGTTCCTTAATCTACCCACTATGTCTTTACTTTGGCCGTAATTGAACAACATTGTGTTTTCCTCAAAAAGTTACTATATATATGAAATCTACCTTAAAGTAAGAGTGTCTGATAAAGGAAAGCAACGATTCTGTATCAGCCATTGAAGAACTCTGAGCTCACTTTCAGTAACCCTGAACATTCTTTGACGAAGTATTATCTAGTATTTATGATTTTCTTGTAGATACATTTTTTGTTATTTTTCCTACTGCTATTGTGGAGATAAAAGCTTTTTCACATATGATTTGAAGTGTGTTTTGTCTTTGTTTTTTTTATTCAATTGATCAAGTTTAATGGCTTTATCAAAATATACCACACATATCAACCCTCAGCCACTATAATCCCTAGAGTAGAGCTCTCAATGTTATATTGGTGTTTCCGGTTATTTACAGGTGCAATATTGAAAAAGCCATATAATATTCTCTATTCATCATTACCATCTTTGACTTTTACAATTCTCTTGGTCCCATCTCTTATTTTAACACATGTAATTGGGTTATCATCCCCGAAAAAGTGATGAAATCTTTTACAAGCTCCATCATCCGGGAAGGCATATGCTATGTTATCTTTGTCTGCCATTCTATCAACCTCTCGAAGTAATAATGGAACTGCTGACTCAAGTCTACAAAAGATAGTTTCTAGTTAATGAAACGATATAAATCTTGTAAATATCTTATTGTTACAGTTATTATACAGTAACTATCTTCTACTAAAATTGAGTTTTTGTTTACTTTTTGATAACAATGGAATTATTATTTGATTTTGAAGAACGAATGACATGATTTAAAAAATACAACAAAATTATCTTAGAAGGTTGTGTAAACAGTTTCATATCTCTCCTATAATAATTCAAATATTTTGCAAACACTGTAACCATGACACAGAATATTTATTACTTCATATTTGGCAATCTCAACCATTGTGTCATTTTGCCCACATGTATCCTTAAACAGTTACATCTTGGCATGCTTATAGATCTAATAGAGATACGTCCAAATATGCCAAAAAATGTGGGTTCCACTCTGAAAGGCCTAGTAATGTGGTTATTTTTACCTGCAACTTTGCTTATTTAAGAATATATAGTGAAATCTGACTTTTTAAGGTAGAGATTCAGATCAATGATTGAAAATAAAAATTTAAAACGGTAAAATTTCAACCAATTTGACGCTAAAGGTAGCCGAAAATGACCGTTTGATGCCTGACGGTAAAGGGCATTCCTACCCTCCTAATTTGGCATACAGTTTAAAAATTTCACATCATAATGAACATGCACATGTGCCTAAAGTTTCAAACTGATGTGACCACAATTTCATGGTTAACTAACTTAAACCTAAACTTTCAACTGATATGGGAAGGCCAAACAGACGTACAAACCAGAAAATATATGCCTCCTGGCCTTTTCTATGATAGGCAGGGCATAATAACATAATATATATCTGGTCTGGGAGGAAGAATGCTACAAAAGTACTGCTAACATGCAATACCTTACCTCTTTTAGGAGTGGACATATATACATCAACCATATTAAAAAATATACAATTGTTTTTGTTTACTTAACATTCAGTGGAAAATACTTCATGCATATCCAGGATGATTGTAACTTAAAATATATATATGTCATATATGATCTGCTGCTTCTAATTCTACAGTGAGTAAAAAAATTAGAGGCTCTAAAGAGCATGAGTCGTTCATCTCCATCTTCAACAATAGCCACTTTTTAGTAAAAAATATCATAGGGGAATAACTCTATTAAAAGCTAACTGACAATTTTTTGACATATTTTTAGATCTTATCCTGTCAAGTCAATATCTTCAAGCATGACGAAAAAAAGTGTTGAAAACTGATTAAAGTGAATTTTCTAAGTCCAAGGACCATAACTCTGCACAAAATAATCAGACCGGAACAAAATTTGAACTTGATCTGTAACTTGTCATGATAAATCTATATACCAATTATCAAATCAATATCTTCAAGCATGAGGAAAAAAGTGATTATTTGAGTGAATCTGTAACTTGTCATGATAAAACAATACACAAAATATCAAATCTATATCTTCAAGCACAAAGAATAAATGTGGATAGTGTCCACATGTGGACACAGATGATGCCCCCGCTTGCATATCATATAGTTATAAAGGGACATAACTGAAGAACGGTAAAAGCGACGCTACCCAAATTTGAACTTGATCTGAGTTTTGTGGTAATAAGCATTGTGTGTAAGTCTCATAACATTTGGTTGAGGCTAACTTAAGTAGAGAACAGAAACTAAAAATTCAGCAATTTTTCTATTTGTAAACACGCATAACTCTAGAACGGTTGTGTACAATTTTTATAACATTTGGTTGAGACAAACTAAAAAATTCATCAATTTTTATGTTTATAAAGGGACATAACTCAAGAATGGTAAAAGTGTTGCCACAAAATTTCGTACTTAATCTGTATTATGTAGTAATAAGCATTGTGTATAAGTTTCATAACATTTGGTTGAGGCAAACTAAAGTTAGAAAACGGAAACAAAAAATTTGTACTTATCTTAGTTTTGTGGTAATGAATATTGTGTATAGGTTTCATAATGTTTGGTTGGGGCAAACTTAAGTTACAGAATGGAAACTAAAAATTTTGCAATCTTTCGATTTATAAAGGGGCATAACTCAATAATGGTTAAAGTGATACTACCCAAATTCAACTTGATCTGTGTTTTATCAGTGGAAGTCAAAATTAAACATTGCATTGTATAAAGCATTGATTGTAGTTGATTCAACTATAATCATGGACAAAGGAAGATAACTCCAATTTAAAAAATTACTTGATATTTAGAAGAAAATAAAAATTTTGCAATTTTTCCATTTATAAAGGGGCATAACTCTAGAACATTTAAAGTGATGCCACCAAAATTCAAACTTGATCTGTGTTTTGTGGTAATAAGCATTGTGTATAAGTTTCATAACATTTGGTAGAGGCAAACTCAAGTTAGAGAACGGAAACCAATTTTGGGACGTACGGGCGTACAGACGGACAAGGGTAAAACTTAATGCCCCCACCGCTACAGCGGGGGCATAATAAATGGGGAACATGTCAATGGGACATAGATGATGCCCCCGCTTGAATATCATATAAAGTAATAAAGGCACATAACTGAAGAACAGTAAAAGTGACGCTATGAAAATTTGTTATTGATCTGAGTTTTGTAGTAATAAGTATTGTGCATAAGTTTCATAACATTTGGTTGAGGCAAACTTAAGTTAGAGAACAGAAACGAAAAATTCAGCAATTTTTTCCTTCTGTAAAGGGGCATAACTCTAGAACAGTAAATGTGATGCCACCTAAATTCTAACTTGATCTGTGTTTTGTGGTAATAAGCATTGAATATAAGTTTCATAATATTTGGTTGAGGCAAACTAAAGTTAGAGAACGGAAACCAACTTTGGGACGTACGGACTGACGTACGAAAGGACAAGGGTAAAACTTAATGCCCCCTCCGCTACAGCGGGGGAATAAAAAGCTGACAATGGAGCAGGAAAATGTCATAATTTTGTTAAACTTGTTAATATGTCAATAGCAGATCAACTGAAGGAAAACTCACAAGATCTGAAAAATTTTAATACACACAAAATAAAATGCTCCGCTGGGCGCAGCTTGATACAACCGCAGAGGTCGAACCCTGAACAGTTGGGGCAAGTATGGACACAACATTCAAGCTTGATACAGCTCTGAATTTGGATTGTGATTAAATATTTGACAGCATAGGTTTCTGACACAGAATGAATGTGGTCTAAGAACTTAAAAAAAAATTTAATTTACCTATTATGGTCCAATATCCAAAATCTAAATACATGGTTAGATTCAGCATATCAAAGAATCCAAAGAATTCAATTTTTGATGAAATCAAGCAAAGTTTAATTTTGAACCCTTTTGACCTCAATGTGGACCAATTTGATAACGGGGCCCAAAAATCAAAATACATGGTTAGATTCAGCATATCAAAGAACCCCATATATTCAATTATTGTTGAAATCAAACACAGTTTAATTTTGGACCCTTTTGACCTCAATATGAACCAATTTGATAGCGGGGCCCACAAATAAAAAATCTAAATACATGGTTAGATTCAGCATATCAAAGAACCCCACATATTCATTTTTTTGTTGAAATCAAACAAAGTTTAATTTTGGACCCCAATTTAGACCAACTTGAAAACTGGGCCCAAAATCAAAAATCTAAATACATGTTAAGATTCAGCATATCAAAGAACCCCATATATTCAATTTTTGTTAAAATCAAACTAAGTTTAATTTTGGACCCATTGGACCTTAATGTAGACCAATTTGAAAACTGGACCCAAAATTAAAAATCTAAATATACGGTCAGATTCAGCATAACAAATAAATAAATGTGGTCAAAGATTTTACAAATCTAATGTGCCATACTGTGCAATTAAAGATTACTTCTTGAAATTTTTCAATATTTGAAATTTGAAAAAAAAAAAAATATTTGAAGAATAATTCTTTTTAATTTCTGAAATCTGAAATGAGAAAAAATTTACCCCCCACAATTTCTTTTTACCCCCCCCCCCCCCCTCCTTTTTCCCCAAAAAAATTCATTCCCTCAAGATATGGTCATAATCTCAATTCAAATTTCCAATGGAGTTTGCAACAATAATTACCCATTTAAATTTACCATAGTGCTAACTTAATCTTTTTTATAATAGAATTTAAAATATGGTGTCAAATCTTTCATATGGATTTTTTTGTAAAAAAAAAAGATGCAACATTTGCAGATATTTTTACTGGTCTTCCTTTATAAATATGCATTTCTTTAAACATAATTTAAAAGCAGTGTAAGGGAAGTAATCAAAACGTTGTATTTGGATTACCTCCCTTACACTGTTTTAAATTGTGTTAATTGTTCATTAACCATTACTTATACATAATTTAAAAGCAGTGTAAGGGAGGTAATTCAAATGATGTATTTGATTTATCTCCCTTACACTGCTTTAAATTATGTTTTGTACTAAAGTATTTGTCCATTAACCAGGACAACCTTGTTTTTCCCCCTTTTTTGCCCCTAATTCCTAAACGGTTTGAGCCATAACCCCCCAAAGCAAATCCTAACCATCCCTTTGTGGTATGGAAACTTGTGGTATAATTTCAGAGAGATCCATACACCGTTCCACAAGTTATTGTCTGGAAACTAGAAAATGCTTATTTTTGGCCTCTTTTTGGCCCCTTATTCCTTAACTGTTGGTACCATAACCCCCAAAATCAATCCCAACCTTCCTTTTGTGGTATTTAACCTTATGGTAAAATTTTATAGAGATCCATTCACTTAAACTAATGTTATAGTGCGAAAACCAATGTGTCTTCGGACGACGACTACGCCCGACGATGACGACGACAAGGACGCCGACGTCATACCAATAAATGACCGCGGTCGTATAAAAATCAGGCAAAATATTGAGTATTTTTGCTCTTTACTTTAAAAGAAAACTTTAGAAAATTTCACAAAACTGATGATAAATGTTAGACAATGAATGCAAAGTGATGGTAATAGCTTTAGCACAACCTTTGGTCCTAAAATATGTATTGTTTATATTACAATATATCTTACTAACCTTGGAATGATGTTATCAGAGAAATAAAATCTTTCTTGTAAGGCATGAATATCAAAAATACAAATCTGTGCTGGTCCCTTTGCTGTTAGAGGTATGGCTGAAATAAGAGTTGCTAATGTCTGCGAATAAAAAAGATCAATGGTATCTGTATTTCACAATTAATTATGAGTATTTGAGGAATACAATTTATTACAAAAACATTTTCTACAAACAATTCACTTTTAACAAGATCACTGGTATCTGTATTTCACATTTAAATGTGAATATTTGAGGAATGCAATTTATTACAAAAACATTTTCTACAAACAATTCACAAACTTTTATGATAAAACTCTAAACTTTGCAGTTAGTATAGCAACATGCCAAAGTGTTTTTCAAAATAGTCCATATCTAGTGTGTGTGTTATATCTGTAAGGTGATCGAATAAAAAGAGATGATATATTTTGATCCTAGCCTTCCTATTCTTACCCACTTGTTTCATTTGGTTTTAAATAACAACTTTTGAGTCTGATTTTATATCAACTTCATCACATGTTTAACATGATTAAAATGAAAGACATAGTCTTTACCTTAGCGGTGGCTATTTGTCCTTCGGTATCTACCCTTTCCATTGTCCCTGTTGGAAAATATGGCAGGATAAAGTGAAATGACTTTGCTAAATATCTGTAAGAAAAATTAGCATAATCTATATAAAAAATAGAAATTTCAAGGTTTTTTTTTTTAGCTTGGTTGTTACTAGTATTAAGATATGGCATATGTCAAATAAAATATGAATTTATGAAACAATATGTTTGTTCATATCTAGTGTGATATGTGTAAGGACTTTGTGACTTTATTGTTGAGATTTATTTCGTGATTAATTGTTGTTTGCTTATTATCCAGTAGCAAATATTTCATATACATTCAGGAAGAGAGATTTGTTTATGTCAGTTGTTTTAATTTGATGAACCTAACTGAGATGTATGTACAGTAATTTTTTTAACACCACCCAGATGCCTCACCAATTTGATTTTTGGCAGGTGAAGATTGAAATATATATCTTGCACACAAGACACCTAATTTTAACTACCGGTAAGTAATTACAAAATTATTTCCAACATTTGTAATTCATTTGGAATTAAATTTTATACTTTTTAGACTGCAAATCTATTTCAAATATGTTTTAATTTCAAAAATCAAAGAACTGTTTTTAAAAACAACTTTTTGACTGCTTACATCTGATTTTGGTACCTGTAAAAATCAAAAATATGATAAAACAAGGACCATAACTCTGCACAAAATTATTAGACCGAAACAAAAATTTGAACTTGATCTGTAACTTGTCATGATAAAACTATATACCAATTATCAATCAATATCTTATAAGCATGATGAAAAAAACATTAGATATGATTAATAGTTCTCTAAAATTATATATGATGTAATACAGTGTATATCTATTTTCAAATTATAATCAAATATAATTAATAGTTCCTAATATTTTTTCTTTCATTTGTCACAAACTAATATAGATTTGTAACTTATCTATAAAATGTCAACAACTTTTATCTACACAATGTAATGTATTGAAATATATACATAATAAAAATAGATTATTATCTAATTGAAGGATTTCTCTTCATAATTTTTTTTTTATATATATAGCATTCAGAAAATTAGTTTATACTAAATAACTAACAAACCTGCCAAAAAATTCTTCAAATAATTGAACAAAGAATGTCTTTTAAAAATTAGTTATCTCCCTTTGTACAGAAATATGGTTTAACATAGTACTCTAACATTAGATATGGTCCAGAGTTATGGTGGTCCAATTATTAATGATTAAATCATCAGACCGGAACAAAATTTGAACTTGATCTATAACTTGTCATGATAAAACTATACACCAAATATCAAATCAATATCTTCAAGAACGAAGAAAAAAAGTGTGGAAAACTGATTTGCCGGACTGACAGAAGGACAGACAGACAGACGGAGTTCAAACCTAAAGTCCCCTTCGCCTTAGTCGGTAGGGGACTAATAAGGTGGCCTAAACTAATAATAGTTAACAGTCTGCGTAACATATGTACATTTCAATTACCTCGGGAAACTGTATAAAACTGATAGCTGTTCAAAGATAAGTTCTGGCGTATGAAAACTTCCAATAAATATAACTGAAAAATACAGATAACTACAATATATTGAAATGCAAACTATCTATTGTAGTACAGAAAAGTATGATTACTAGTGTCTTAAAGTGAAAATACTATCTAATTAATGAGTTCAGAAGAGGAAACAAATCCTGCCTGACTTAATGACCCTATATTAAAAATATTTCAAAAATCTAGCTTGTGCTATATTCACATATTCCTGTGCTTTTCAAAAAATCCAAAATCAAGGTTTGTGACATTAATTATGTCTGACCTGGACTTAAGTATCCAAGCATATTACATTTTGTACATTTGTACTAATGGCATAAAATGTTACCCAACTTTGATAACTTTAATTTTTACCTATCAAGTTTACATGTACCTCCAATAAGCTGGCAAAGCATATCTTTATATATGAGGCAGTTCATGCAAAAAGAAACAACAAAAACGAAAAATTTACGAAATTCTAAAAGATGACATAATTTTTTGCATTTTCCCATACTTTTAACTGTTGTGTTCTTTTCTTTAGGCATAGTTAGAGATGATAAAAACTGTTGTTTTTTCTCTCTAAAGTGTCGTAACTTGTTTTATTTCGGCTCAGTATGGCATTGTTCTGGGTAACAATGATTTTTTAACCTTGTCTAAGTACAAATATTCTGATATTTCTAAGTTTTTTTTTCGGTTTTAACTGACAAATTCGGGACAGAATTGACCATTTTATAAATGTAATAATACCATTTTTTTCAGATAAAATTGTTTATCAAAAATATTTTAACGAACTTTAACAACGTGTCCTGTAAAGTTGATCATAAACACTTTTTGTACTTTTTTGCAAGAGTGGCTCATATATAAATAAATGGGGAATGTGTCCATGGGACACAGATGATGCCCCCACTTGCATATAACGTTATAAAGGGCCATAAGTTACTCAAGAACTGTAAAAGTCACACTACCCAAATTTGAACTTGATCTGAGTTTTGTGGTAATAAGCATTGTTTATAAGTTTCATAACATTTAGTTGACGTAAACTTCAATTAGAGAACAGAAACGAAAAATTCAGCAATTTTTCCATTTTTAAAGGGGCATAACTCTAGAACAGTGGAAGTGACGCCACCAAAATACAATCTTTATCTGTGTTTTGTGGTAATTAGCATTGTGCATAAGTTTCATAACATTTGGTTGAGGCAAACTAAAGTTAGAGAACAAAAACTAATATTTCAGCAATTTTGAGATTTGGAAAGGGGCATAACTCTAGAACTGTGAAAGTGACACCACCAAAATGCAAACCTGATCTGTGTTTTGTGGTAATAAACATTGTGGATAAGTGTCATAACATTTGGTTGAGGCAATCTAAAGTTAGAGAATGGAAACGAAAAATTCAGCAATTTTTCCATTTGTTAAAGGGCATAACTCTCAAACAGTAAAAGTGATGCCACCAAAATTCAAACTCGATCTGTGTTTTGTGGTAATAAGCATTGTGGATAAGTTTTATAACATTTGGTTGAGGCAAACTAAAGCTAGAGAACGGAAACCAATTTTGGGACGTATGGACCCATGTACAGACGGACAAGGGTAAAACTTAATGCCCCCTCCCTTATGGCGGGGGCATAAAAAAGAATTTAAATTGATTAAAAAAGTACTTAATATATTTTTACATGAACAATGCAGAATATTGTGTAACTAAATGACATTTGTGCATCATGAATATCTCAAAAGATTAAATGATATGTACAAGTATTTACACTAACTCTTTCTTGATATTTACAATCATTTTTTTGTTCTTGACAAGTTTGTTGAAAACAATCAGTATATCAAGGACAATGTATGGTACATTAGTCCCTAGTTATGGTATCACATTTTAATGTCAAAATGAGTTCCCTCAATAAATGATGTCTGTTTTAAAAATAAAAATAAACCATAGTTCAAACAATGGATTTTGTGGTATTTATGAAGGATAGGTTATGTTATAAATTTCTCTGACAGTTAACAGTCTGCCCCTTTCTAAATATTTCTACTGATAACTTAAAATGCTGACACTGAACATCACTTGCCATCTTTCCCTGCCATATATCTGACATCTTCAATGAACAAATTTGGGAAACCATCTTGAAACTTCTTCCATTGAATGGTTTTTCTAAATTTTACAGCTCTTAATCCATTGCCACTTAAGGAAAAGGTTCTCTCAATCTGAAAAAAATTAAATGTTAAAGCAATTTTATTTCTGAGCCAGATTTTTAACATTACAGTTCACAAAGAAACAGTCAGTCTCCAGCATAACATATCACCATACCAAGACTATTCTGACTTCAAGCCAACCAGCCTTTGCTCTAAATTCTGAATGCTGTATGCTTGGTAGAAAAGGATTAAAGATCAATTTTCTAATAAGTCTTTGGTTTGACCCTGCCTGGGATTAACCTACAACCTTCCCAACTCAAGGCAAGCATGCTACCAGAAGACCATATTACCACATCAAGCGCCCACTGAGGACAGGTAGTTTGCATTGTTTAAAATTTTACATTCAAAAGTGACAACAACATTCAAAGGTCTATTAAAAAATTAAGAACTTACTATAAATTTAATAAATTTCTTGCAGTATACCCATAAATTAATATGTTCTATAATTAGAAAACTGAAAAAAATGCTTAGTTTTTTTTAATCTAAATTCAATAAACTGCTTCGCTGAGGGCAGCTGGATACGCCTGCAGAGGTCCAACCCTGAACAGTTGGGGCAAAAATGGACAATATTTAAGCTTGATACAGGTCTAAATTTGGATTGTATTAAATATTTTACATATTATAAAGTGTTGTTGTCAATCCAGCGGTATTATATTTATTTATTTTTATTGACAACCCTGCATACCATCGGGTATCCTCTTTAGTGACTCTACCTTCACTTCACCACAAAGGTGCTGGTTCAGCAGCTTCTTATTATAGGTTTCTGAATAAATGTAGTCAAAGAACTTGAAATTGGTTATAAGAATTGAATTTATATTCAATTAAAGATTTCTTGCTGTTGAGCAATACACTGTGCTGTTGCGCAATACTTAGTAAATCTGTTGTCAGACTATAAACAAATAAAGTTCAATTAATTCTCAATGTCATATTAGAAATTTATGAAAATGTAAAGGGAGCTTACATCAATAGATATAAACAATTCACCAAAGTTTCATGAGAATTGCAGACAGCATTTTTGAGTTATTGTCCGAAAACTGGAAAATCCCCCTTTTTTAATGAATAAAACCCCATAACTCAGAAATGTAAAATGTTAAATTTATAAAATTCTAAACGGAGCTTACATCAATAGATATAAACAATTCACCAAAGTTTCATAAGAGCTGCTGAAAGCATTTTTGATTTTTTGTCCGAAAACTGGAAAATCGAAAGGGAGCTCATGTCAATAGATATAAACAATTCACCACAATTTCTTGCAAGTTGGTGAAAGCATTCTTGAGTTATTGTCTGAAAACTGGATAATCCCCCTTTTTTTAATGAATAAAACCCCATAACTCGGAAACGTAAAATCTAAAATTTATAAAAAACGAAAGGGAGCTAACGTCAATAGATATAAACAATTCACCAAAGTTTTTTGCAAATTGGTTTAAGGGTTTTTGAGTTAATGTCCGACATGTTGACAACAGACGGACAGACAGACAACGGTATACCATAATACGTCCCGTAAACGGGCGTATAAAAATAATGTTTCTTTTCACCTATTTAATGCTGACCAATATGTAATTTTATGACATTTATTTTATTTCTAGTAAAAAGCAATTTTTTAAGCTATCACATTACACAATTTTGGAAGTATGGGTCTAAAAGCAGTACAACAAAACAACTAACACACAAGTATACAACGTCAACATAGTAGGTGTGACCCTGGTTCATTTTAAACATCAATTCATTGGTGACTCTCACTATGTACTATAAAGGTGATGATGTGGAGAATATCAATTTACTTGTACCTGACAGAAATAATTTAAGTCATCAGAGAAAGTAAAAATATTCAGTCAGAATTAACGGTATCATGCAGAGGGGATTTAGGGGCCCAGGGTGCCTGGGCCCCCCTTATAGAGCTACATATATGGTTAATCATAATGCATAGACTATTTACACGTTCCACTCCAATGGTTGCCTAGTTTGCCCATTGGGCAAGGTGAGCTAAAAAGGATTTAGCATTGCCCATACATGGTAAGGGTTAAATCATTTATATGCAGTAAAAAATGTTTAGCATTTAATGTATCATGTTTCATTCTGCAAGATTGCTATTCAACTATTAAAATAAAATGCTTCGCTGAGTGCAGCCTGAAACGACCGCAGTGGTCGAACCCTGAACAGTTGGGGCAAATTTGGACACAATATTCAAGCTTGATACTAACTGAATTTGGATTGTGATCAAATTTTTGACATAGTATAGGTTTCTGACACAAAATTAATGTGGTCAAAGAAATTTAGATCTTACAAATCTAATGCTCAATACTGTGCAATTGAAGATTTCTTCTTGAAACTTTTCAAAAATTTGAAATTTTGAATATTTTGAAAAAAAAATATGAACCCTTTGAAAAAAAAATTGGAAACCCCCCTTCCCCCCAAACTTTTTGAATCACCCATTTAGCATTAACCATCAAACTCAATTGCAGTCTTTCCTTTGTAGTATGGAACCTTTAAGAGAGATTCATACACTTAATCACAAGTTACTGTCTGGAAACTAGAAAAATGCTTTTTTTTTAACCATAAAAGCCCAATTAAATACATCATAAAAGTATTAAAATAGAAAATGACATCATAGTCATGGCTAAAATTTTAATATTAATATCTAAAAATAAAATTCCTTCATCAGCATTTAAAAGTAACTTCTAAAAATAAATTGACAGCTAGGACTTTTGCAACCATAAAAACCCATTTAAATACATCATAAAAGTATTAAAATAGAAAATCACATCATAATTATGCCTAAAATTAAAACACTTTCATCAGCAACATTAAATAGTAATATCTAAAAATAAAATTCCTTCACATACATAATCATGGCTAAAATTAAATAATTTTTAAAATAGAAAATGACATCATAATCATGCCTTAAACTAAAAAGCCTTCATCACGACATCAGCAACATTAAATAGTAATATCTAAAAATAAAATTCGTATTTATGGCTATAATTAAATTACCTTTATCAAACATTTTTAAAATAGTAACTTCTAATAAAATGCTCTGCTGGGCGCAGCTTGATACGACCGCAGAGGCCGAACAGTTGGGCAAGTATGGACACAACATTCAAGCTTGATACAGCTCTGAATTTGGATTGTCATTAAATATTTGACACAGAATGAATGTGGTCTAAGAACTTAAAAAAAATTTAATTTACCTATTCAAACCATATCATTATTATTTGCTTTTATACATAAATCAGAAATAACCAATTTAAAATGGAAAATTTTAAAGAAAAAAAAATCCCCCCCCCCCCAAATTTTTTGAACCCCATTATGATTCATCACTCCCAAACTCAATTCCAGCCTTCCCTTTGTGGTATGGTACCTTGCAGTACAATTTCAGAGAGATCCATACACTTGAACACAAGTTATTGTTTTTTTGGCCCCTTTTTGGCCCCAAATTCCTAAATGTTTAGGGCAATTACCCCCAAACTCAAACCAAGCTTTCCCTTTGTGATATGGAACCTTGTAGTACAATTTCATAAAGATCCATACACTTACACAAGTTATAGTCCTGAAACTAGAAAAATGCTTGTTTGTTGCCCCTTTTTGGCCCCTAATTCCTAAAATTTTGAGGCAATTACCCCCAAAATCAATCCCAGCCTTCCCTTTGTGGTATGGTACCTTGCAGTACAATTTCAGAGAGATCCATACACTTGAACACAAGTTATTGTCTGGAAACTAGAATAAAATGCTTCGCTGGGCACAGCTTGATACGACCGCAGAGGTCGAACCCTCAACAGTTGGGGCAAGTATGGACACAACATTCAAGCTTGATACAGCTCTGAATTTGGATTGTGATTAAATATTTGAAACAGCATAGGTTTCTGACACAGAAAGAATGTGGTCTAAGAACTTAAAAATTTTAAATTGGACATTCACCTATTATGGTCCAATATCCAAAATCTAAATACATGGTTAGATTCAGCATATCAAAGAACCCCATATATTCAATTTTTGTTGAAATCAAACAAAGTTTAATTTTGGACCCCAACTTGGACAAACTTGAAAACTGGTCCCATAATCAAAAATCTAAACACATGTTTAGATTCAGCATATCAAAGTACCCCAAGAATTCAATTTTTGTTAAAATCAAACTAAGTTTAATTTTGGACCCTTTGGACCTTAATGTAGACCAATTTAAAAAACAGGACCCAAAATTAAAAATCTAAATACACGGTTAGATTTGGCATATCAAAGAACCCCAATAATTCAATTTTTGATGAAATCAAACAAAGTTTCATTTTGGACCCTTTTGACCTCAATATGAACCAATTTGATAGCGGGGTCCACAAATAAAAAATCTAAATACATGGTTAGATTCAGCATATCAAAGAACCCCATATATTCATTTTTTGTTGAAATCAAACAAAGTTCAATTTTGGACCCCAATTTGGACCAACTTGAAAACTGGGCCAGAAATCAAAAATCTAAATACATGTTTAGATTCAGCATATCAAAGAACCCCATATATTCAATTTTTGTTAAAATCAAACAAAGTTTAATTTTGGACCCTTTGGACCTTAATGTAGACCAATTTGAAAACTGGACCCGAAATTAAAAATCTAAATACACGGTTAGATTCGGCATAACAAATAAATAAATGTGGTCAAAGATTTTACAAATCTAATGCGCCATACTGGTCTTCCTTTATAAATATGCATTTCTTTAAACATAATTTAAAAGCAGTGTAAGGGAAGTAACCAAAACGTTGTATTTGGATTACCTCCCTTACACTGTTTTAAATTATCTTAATTGTTCATTAACCATTACTTTATACATAATTTAAAAGCAGTGTAAGGGAGATAATTTCAATGATGTATTTGATTTATCTCCCTTACACTGCTTTAAATTATGTTTTGTAATAAAGTATTTGTCCATTAATGAGGACAACCTTGTTTTTCCCCCTTTTTTGCCCCTAATTCTTAAACGGTTTGAGCAATGACCCCCCAAAGCAAATCCTAACCATCCCTTTGTGGTATGGAAACTTGTAGTATAATTTCAGAGAGATCCATACACCATTTCTCAGTTATTGTCTGGAAACTAGAAAATGCTTATTTTTGGCCCCTTTATAGCCCCTAATTCCTTTACTGTTGGTACCATAACCCCCAAAATCAATCCCCACCTTCCTTTTGTGGTATTGAACCTTATGGTAAAATTTCATAGAGATCCATTCACTTAAACTAAAGTTAGAGTGCGAAAACTAATGCGTCTTCGGACGACGACGCCAACGTCATACCAATATACGACCACAAAAAATTTTTTGCGGTCGTATAAAAATGCTTATCGATACACTTAAAAACAAGTTATTGTCTGGAAACTAGAAAAATGCTTATTTTTGGCCCCTTTTTGGCCCCTTATTCCTAAACATTTTGGGCAATTACCCCCAAACTCAATTCCAGCTTTCCCTTTGTGATATGGAACCTTGTAGTACAATTTCAGAAAGATCCATACACTTACACACAAGTTATTGTCATGAAACTAGAAAAATGCTTGTTTTTTGCCCCTTTTTTTTGCCCCTAATTCCTAAAATTTTGAGGCAATTACCCCCAAAATCAGTCCCAGCATTCCCTTTGTGATATGGAACCTTGTGGTACAATGTCAGAGAGATCCATACACTAACACACAAGATATTGTCTTGAAGTTATAAAAAAGCTTATTTTTGGACCCTTTTTGGCCCCTAATTCCTTTTTCCTTAACTGTTGGTACCATAACCCCCAAAATCAATTTCAACCTTCCTTTTGTGGAATTGAACCTTATGGTAAAATTTCATAGAGATCCATTCACTTAAACTAAATTTATTGTGCGAAAACCAATGTGTCTTTTCGGACGACAACGACAACATCATACCAATATACGACCGCAAAAAATTTTGCAGTCGTTAAACATTAATTGACAGCTAATCACTTAAGGACAAAACATTTCTTTATAAATAATTTACAAGCAGTCTTAGGGAGGTAATTTAATAATATGTGTTTGAATTACCTCCCTTACACTGCTTTAAAATTATGTTTTGTACTTAATTGTCCATTAGCCTGGAAACCCTTGTTTTTCCCCCTTTTTTGCCACTAATTCCTAAACAGTTTGAGCCATAACCCCCCAAAGCATATTCTTACCATCCCTTTGTGATATGGTAACTTGTGGTATAATTTCAGAGAGATCCATACACCATTTCACAAGTTATTGTCTGGAAACTAGAAAAATTCTTATTTGGGTCACATTTTGGCCCCTAATTCATGAACTATTAGGACCATAACCCCCAAAATCAATCCCAACCTTCCTTTTGTGGTCATAAACCTTATGGTAAAATTTCATAGAAATCCATACACTTAAACAAAAGTTATTGTATGGAAACCAATGTGTCTTCGGACGACAACGACAACGCGATACCAATATACAACTACAAAATTTTTGCGGTCGTATAAAAAGATAAAACTGAAAACAAATATCTATTCTATAGAACATGCAATTAAATGTAAAAGAGGTACAAGAAACTGAGAAAAAAAATAATATTATTTTGAATGAATAAGCTTATAAGGGGAGAAGATGTCAGAAGTTGTGGAAATATGTTTGCAATAGTAAAAGTGGTATAAGTGCAAAGGGGCTAATACTCTATTCCATATACATGTATTTTCTTTTATCTCCTTCCTTCAAACCTTGAGTAAATCTGACTATTACACTCTTCTTAGACATAAGCAGCAAATTTGCACATTTTATCATGCAGTTTGATGCTAAAAGAGTAAACAAAATTTATAATCATCCACAAAATGTTACCTTTACCTTGAAAAAAAGACACTAAGTTCCCATTGGCACCATTTTTTAGATAAGGATTTTTTATACCAGTAGTTTTAACAATTCAGTATAGAAAATGTATGTGGAGAGATGGGAAAAAAGGGAAGCCTAAACAATGCTGAATAAAGTGATATAAATATCAAACTATTAATAATAAAATCAATATTTGGACAGAAAGAAAATGTTTAAAGATATGTATACAACATACAAGTACATTGTTAAATCTATACAAATGTAGTTGTACCAACTAAAAGTAAAATGCATGTACTAAAATGCTAACTTACCAAATCTTGTGTACACTGAAATAATTTTAATGTGAAATATATAAACATGCACATGCAAAAGCAAGTCATTCTTGTTTGTCAAAAAGTGAGGAAAAAAAACAATGTTCAAATACCTGCCAACTTTTCAAAATCTCCATTGGGGATTTTAATTATATAAGCGCAAGAGGACCTAATGCTCCTCTTATATTGTCATAAGTCATGTAAACTTTAAGTGTTTTTAATCTACTTCTATTTTGTTTGAATGAGTATGTATGTGCTTAAATAAAATTTTAACTCATTTGAATGCCTGTTTTGAGGTGTTCAGTTTATATAATTAAGAATTAGATATCCCCATAAATCAGGATCGTCGTCAGGTCTGTGTTCATTTGAATTATCATCTGCCAGAATTACATATTTGTTGGTTAAAGTATGTACCAACCAGGTTGATTGTATCAAAAAGGGAATTCTTGTTAATTTTACTTGTCAACAAAATAAATAAAACCAAAATAGTATGCTATTAGTGATCGAACGCTCACACTAGTGAGGTTTCTAAGAGCTTGGGCAGTGCAATGAAATTCCTGTTTAACATTTGTTATCTAGATCTGATTTCATAATTTGAAAAGCTGTTTGATATTATGGGAATATTTTCTAATACTTTGACTTTCAATTTCTGTACTAAAGTAAAAAGGTTACGATATCCTACATGGATACAACCTTTACAAAATTTGACAAAGATCGGAAAATATCTTTCTTCATAAAATGAAAATGTGCCCTTGAGCTTGATCTTTGATCTCTAAACATGCTAAATAAGAAAATCTATAACATATGAGTCATCCTTTTCTTGTACAAAAGTTGTAACTTGAATGAAGATGTGACTTAATGGATCTCCTGTAGTTGGTGATCGCAATACTGGTATAAAAATTTTGTACCAGTATTGTATTCCAGTATTGTACCAGTATTGTGGTTTTTTTAAATAAACAATACATATAGGTAATTAATCTTTAAATTTATTACAGGTGGCACATATATATGAAATTAATATATGACATGACAATTTTATAAGGAATGATTGGACATACAGATTGTATGTTTAAATGATGGTACACTGCGATTGTCATCAAAGAAAGTTTTAAATCTTCTGATGTTTTTTTTTTTTTAAGGGAACAATACTGTCCCAGCATTTCAACAAACTCTTTATTTTCTTCTTTGAGCTCTAGCGCTCTCTTTCCAAGACTCATAGTATTTGTACCAGTTGATACATCTGCTAAGAATTGTGTTGCCCATGGTTCTGAATCATCTGCTTTAATTACCCTAAACATTCATGTAGTTAAATTGATTATAATCAGGTTCCCCTATTAAGCAACATTTACTGTTTAATAGATATTAAATCCCCCTTTGACATGTTTGATCTTCAATATCTAATTTTGCTTAAAATTCATTTTTTTTATTATACACCTTAAATTATAGTCAACAATACAACTACAATACTGGGTTATCAGTAATGTACCAGTATTGCTGTCTTTTTTTTAAAAAGTTGCAATACTGGTACAAAATTTTTATACCAGTATTGTGCATAATACTGGTATACCACTGTCCAGTCATTGTCATGTTATCAAGGATTTTCTACTTTCATTTTCAAGTGTATGTACTTTCAAGAATTTTAAGGCATAAAAATAATCAACTATGTTTATTTATTATGCAACATGTATTCTTCAGTATTGAAGCCTTGCTGAAATAAAGAAGAAGAAGCCTGTAAAATCTCAGACTCCACTCCCAGGTATTAATTCGAAAAGAAAATTTCAAAGGGATATAATTTTTATACTTAAAAAACCAACACAGCCCAATTATCAAGCTACATGCAGATTAAATTTCCTGAAACCTGCAGGCTAATCACAGGCATATTCACACTTGAGTGAATACATGTAATGTTAGTTACCTTAAGGTTTAAAATATTAGTAATTAAAAATGCCCGATACAAAAATTATGTCCGCCAAGCTTTAAATTTCATAAATTATGTGTTACCGATCGTTTGCTAACTGACGGTGTATCGGTTTGAGAAGATTGGCTGCATTCGTTAGATAGCCTTGTACACATGTTGACAATTTCTTCTGCCAGCAAATACATCGAAGGATGAGCATAAAGTAATACTGGACTGTCATCGTTGTTCATTTTCGTTTTCGATTACGTTAACGTTGCAAAATTTCGGCATGAAAAGTTTTGTAAACAACTCCTTTTATTTACTTTCTGCAGAAGAGCTGAGACAAGGGAGGGAAGTGTGAGTTTTAAAGGCGCTAAAATTAAAACACACATATAATAGGTCACACAGGGACTCGGTAAGCGGACATTTGATTGATACAGAGAATATATATTATATGTGTCTGAGATTCGTGTTAATTTTTTTTAATCATTGTCATTTTAGATGTTTTTTCGTATTTCCTGTCTATTTGTATTAAATTATTAACCCGTTCAAAAGTTTAACAAAATCAGTGGCGGATCCAGAACTTCTTGTAAGGGGGGCCCGCTGACTGACCTAAAGGGGGGGGGGGGGGGGGCGCCCGCTCCAGTCACGCTTCAGTGATTCCCTATATAATCAACCAAATTTTTCCCTCGAAAGGGGAGCCCGGGCCCCCCAGAACCCCCCCCCCCCCCCCCTGGATCCGCCTATGAAAATTAATAAATACTTTGCTTGCAGTAACAACGTTTTTGATTTAAACGAAAGAAATCTCTGTTTTACTGAAAAATTATTACACCAGGGTTTTCGATATCACCAGAGACATATAATACTTGTATTATATGTCTCTGATATCACAAACTAGTCAAAACATTTACTAAATTTGATCATCGGTACAAGGACATCACTAATTCGTAAATATAAATCAACATGCAGACATCTTATACGTTCAGCCGGTATTTTACATCCAATCTTTTATGGTAATATTCTTTAAAAAGCACAAAAATGTCGGCATTCACCTCTAAAGCTAACCAAACCTTTAAACAGACTTATTCAGAAGGGATATAGTTACGATACTGTTGTCAATTAAAGATGCCGGCATATTTTGGTCAGTGATTTTGGATATAATTAATAATATTGATTCACTCATAGGGTCTTTGCAATGGAAATAAACACATTTATTCTAAAACCAGATGTTGACATGATACGGGTTATGTTCTTCTCGTATATTTTATGATGATATGATACTAAACCACTAACGGGAGGGATTGTGCTTGATTTTCATATGATGAAGACATAATCTTTCAATCAGTTTAATTGAGGTCTGGAGCTGGCATGTCAGTAACTGCTAGTAGTCCTTTGTTAATTTATGTATCATTGTCATTTTGCTTAGTTTCTTTTGTTACCTATTCTGACATCGGACTCGGACTTCTCTTAATCTGAGTTTTATTGTGCGTATTGCTGTGCGTTTGTTTATTCTACATTGGCTAGAGGTATAGGGGGAGGGTTGAAATCTCACAAAACATGTTGAACCCGCAGCATTTTTGCGCCTGTCCCAAGTCAGGAGCCTCTGGCCTTTGTTAGTCTTGTATGTTTTTTTTATTTTAGTTCATTTATATGTTTTGGAGTTTAGTGTGACGTCCATTTTCATTGAACTAGTACACATTTTTGTTTAGGGGCCAGCTGAAGCCCGCCTCCTGGTGCGGGATTTTCTTGCTGTGTTGAAGACCCATTGGTGGCCTTCGGCTGTTTTCTGTTCTTTGGTCGGGTTGTTGTCTCTTTGATACATTCCCCATTTCAATTCTCAATTTTATCTAGCATATTGGTTCATGACTGAAAAGTGGTCATTTTAAATGCAACTACTTCAAACCTCTATATATCGAATCTGAGCATGTTAATAAATACTAGTATAGTTATGTTATATTTTCAGTTGATCGTTTTGGTCTATTCCTAATGCTTATTACTAAATGGAACTAGGGTATTGTTTAAACTTTATATCTCGTCTTCTTTAAAATAAGAAACAGTCTTACATGGAGATATATGTGCATGTGAGTTTTTCATATCCGTATCTACACACATTTTGCATGATCATATAAATATGAACAGTAGTAGAGGTGCACTTCGCACACATCAATACACTACCTATGCATATACGTTTGTCTTCAACACGTTCGCGTAAAAGATGTAGCGGCAACTTCCCCTATTTTTGTTTCAATTCGGGGCGGGGGAGTCTATATAATACTTAAAACATTTTCATATTTCCATAAGTCAAACTATTATTCAGAGCTAGAAATCGCTGTTGAAGACAATTCAACAAATTATAAATTTTATCGTAAAATTTTGCATCGAATGACGTCTTCCGGTAGATATCATGTTTTTACATAGAAGTGTTATCATTTATCAGCAAAAAGTTCAGACTTTGGCAATTAAACCAGAAAAAGACAAGATAGTACAGCGATTCATATTACCATATACAAAAACAGAGATAAGGTATCATTTTGATGACTGGAAAATAGACGCAATTAAGATTTCATTCCAAATCCATAACTACAAAACATAACTTCTGAAAGTGTTACTGCATCTGGAAAATTTGAGATAATGACACTTTTCCTGTTTTATCAAAACTAATTGCTCTTTTCAGAACAAGAGAAAAGAGAAAATATTTTATTTATCGCTTCTATGTAAATCAGATGTTATCGTCTCATATCTAATAGATACCTAGGCTGGAAGAAAGGGGGAAAGTTGTCTTATTGGCAATCATATAACATCTTATTTTCTTTAAAATGACTTAAATGTTCCTGCTCTAAATGTATTGCATTTAATCAGAGACATATATGCATATACACTGTGTATATATGTCTCTGATGTAAATTATTGTAGTTTATAGTTTCCTCCTTTCATTCTTCCTTGTGCTGTTTGGTGAGATTATCTGTGGGAAATGTTCCAAAATAAATCATCTTGCATACCAAAGGAAATAGACACACTGTATTTGTGTAAATGAAAAAAAAAAAATGTTTTTTTTTAAAAATAGACAAATACTAAAATAAAGTTTTGATAATACTTTATAAAACGCATTTTTAATATACTTATTAAATTATTTCCCACTCATTTTTATGGAGAATTATGTTTTCAAAACTTTGTTCAACCTTTGAATCATGACAAGAATCCATGAAATATATATTACAAATGAAACACAGCTTCCACGGTCTTCGCTGATAAAATAGAAAACACAGTCATAGATTTCCGTACAATGTTTAATGATTTTTCAGTTTGTAATTAATTTCAGTATCATCACCTAAATCTTCAAATACAACTATGCAAAGGCGCTTGGGAAATGTTCCAAAATAAATCATCTTGCATACCAAGTATTAACAGGAAATAGACACACTGTATTTGTGTAAATGAAAAAAAAATGTTTTTTTTTTAAAATAGACAAATACTAAAATAAAGTTTTGATAATACTTTATAAAACGCATTTTTAATATACTTATTAAATTATTTCCCACTCATTTTTATGGAGAATTATGTTTTCAAAACTTTGTTCAACCTTTGAATCATGACAAGAATCCATGAAATATATATTAACAAATGAAACACAGCTCCCACGGTCTTCGCTGATAAAATAGAAAACACAGTCATAGATTTCCGTACAATGTTTAATGATTTTTCAGTTTGTAATTAATTTCAGTATTATCACCTAAATCTTCAAATACAACTATGCAAAGGCGCTTGGCCCATAGACTTTTTTTCTTTTTAGCTCACCGGGGCCCGAAGGGCCCCATGTGAGCTTATGCCATCACTTGGCGTCCGTCGTCGTCCGTCGTCGTCCGTCGTCTGTCGTCGTCTGTGTCTGTTGTCGTCTGTCGTCGTCTGTGTCTGTTGTCGTCTGTCGTCGTAAACTATTTCAAAAATCTTCTCCTCTGAAACTCCTGGGCCAAATACCTTCAAACTTAAACTAAATGTTCCTTAGAGTATCTAGTTTATAAATTGTATCCAAAGTTTTGATCCTAATTGCTTCGCTGAGCGCAGCTGGATACGACCGCAGATGTCCAACTCTGAAAAGTTGAGGCCAAAATGGACACAATATTCACGCTTGATACAGGTCTGAATTTGGATTGTAACTAAATTTTTGACACATAATAGGTTTCTGACACAGAATAACTGTAGTCAAAGAACTTCAAATTGGTTATATGATTTGAATTTATATTCAATTTTTTGCTTTTGTTCAATACACTATGCTGTTGCGAATTGCCCCCCTCCCAAAAATAAAAAAAAATGTACCCCGGTTTTTTGCTTTTGTGCAATACACTATGCTGTTGAATATTAACCCCTAAAAAAATGTTTGAAGAAATTTTCTTTTAATTTCTGAAATCTGAAATGAGAAAAATTGTCCCCCCCCTCCAATTTTTTTCACCTCCCCCTTTCCCTTATTCCCAAAAAAAAAAATCTTTCCCTCAAGATATGGTCAGTATCTTAATTCAAATTTCTAATGGAGTTTGCAACCATAACTACCCATTTAAATACATCATAAAAGTTTTAAAATATAAAATGGCATACATAGTCATGGCTAAAATTAATATTAATTAATAGTAACTGCTAAAAATAAATAGACAGCTAATCATCTCAAACCCCCCAAAGTCAATCCTAACCATCCCTTTGTAGTATGGAAACGTGTGGTATAATTTCAGAGAGATTCATACACTTTAACACAAGTTATTGTCTGGAAACTACAAAAATGCTTATTTGGGCCCCTTTTGGCCCCTAATTCCTAAACAGTTGGGATCATAACCCCCAAAATCAATCCCAACCTTCCTTTAGTGGTAATAAACCTTGTGTTAAAATTTTATTGATTTCTATTTACTTATACTAAAGTTATTATTCGGAAACCATCTGTCTTCGGACGACGCTGACGACGACGACGCCGGACGACGACGACGACGACAACGTGATACCAATATACGACCAAAAAAATTTAAATTTTTGCGGTCGTATAAAAATTTTCAAGATAAAAATATGAACCCCCAAAAAAGATTAGAAAAAAAATCCCCCAAAACTTTTTGACACCCTTGGAGTAATTACCCCCAAACTCAATCCCAGCCTTCCCTTTGTTGTATGGAACCTTGTAGTACAATTTTAGAGAGATCCATACACTTAAAAACAAGTTATTGTCTGGAAACTAGAAAAAATGCTTGTTTATTAGCCCCTTTTTTGCCCCTAATTCCTGAACGTTTTGGGCAATTACCCCCAAACTCAATCCCAGCCTTCCCTTTGTGATATGGAACCTT